ATACTACTGTAATTTATTTTCATTTTTTTCATTTTTTTTCAGCGCAACTTTGTCATGGAAGGAGGTGCTATGGTGCTTGCTGATGGGGGTGTTGTCTGCATTGATGAATTTGACAAAATGAGAGAAGATGATCGAGTAGCAATTCATGAAGCCATGGAACAGCAAACTATTTCAATTGCTAAGGTATTAAGAAAATAGAAAGTGGTCATCAATTGCCTTCTTTCACAACCTTCAACCTACTACAAACTATTTGTTTTTTAAATCCTATAACAGGCTGGTATTACGACAACTTTGAACTCCAGATGTTCTGTATTGGCTGCTGCAAATTCTATTTTTGGTCGTTGGGATGATACCAAGGGAGAGGAAAATATTGATTTCATGCCTACTATCCTGTCCCGTTTTGATATGATTTTCATTGTTAAGGATGAGCACAATGAAAACAGAGATGTGGTATGTATCAGTCATTTTCATTTTCTTTCTCTTTTATTATCTTATACATTATTTTATTTACATTAATGTGAATTTCCCCCTCAATTAGACCTTGGCTAAGCATATCATGAATGTGCATATGAATGCTGGCCAGTCACTTCAAGAAGCTGCATCAGAGGGCGAAATTTCACTCCCTTTGTTTAAGAAGTTTATCAACTACTGCCGTTTGTAAGTACCCTTTTAAATTTCTGTTTTTAATGTTCTACCCGAATTACTCATTTGTGTGTTTGCTTCTTTGATTATAGACGCTGTGGACCACGGCTTTCAGAAGCTGCTGGAGAAAAACTAAAAAACAGATACGTATTGATGAGAAGTGGCACTCGTCAACATGAATTAGACACTGATAAAAGAATGTCAATTCCCATTACAGTCAGGTAGAGTGAACTAACTCTAATCTTATTTAAAAGATTTTTTTATAATTCATGTCAACTTAGCATTTTGACCCATTCTTTACCATCATCTTGCTTACATCATAAATCATCAAAAAGAACGCAATGAAGTAACTATTGAAAAATTTCCAACTGTTTGTAAAACTTCTTACACACTGTAATTATTGTTGGTGATTAGCAGTTAAATAAAAGCCAACATTTTGTATGAACCGTTTGACTGAACTAGATGACAAAACAAGCTGATGTTTAAGAACAAGTCTGAAAATGAATTTGAGGTCTTTGCTAATTGATACCATATTTATATTCTTTTCAATCACAGGCAGCTGGAGGCTGTTGTTCGCATATCTGAGTCCCTGGCCAAAATGAAACTCCAGCCATTTGCTGGTGAAGAAGAAGTCAATGAAGCTCTACGACTCTTTCAAGTCTCTACTCTTGATGCTGCTATGTCTGGATCCCTGGCTGGTGCTGAAGGATTTACAACCGAAGAAGATACGGAAATGTTATCTCGCATAGAGCGTCAACTAAGGAAAAGATTCGCAGTAGGTTCTCAGGTATCTGAACACAATATTGTTCAAGATTTCCTGAAACAGGTATGTTGTTGTGTGGTATACTTTTTCAGTCAAATAACCAAATTACAAAAAAGATATTTATTTTCATGTACACTATTTCAGAAATACCCAGAAAGGGCTATCATGAAAGTTATTCACACAATGATTCGCCGCGGAGAACTTCAGCACAGAATGCAGAGGAAAATGCTTTATAGATTGAATTGATGTCAATCAGGTTTGAAAATCATTTTCCAAAACTCCAAATTTTGCCTTGTGCCTTTTAATTTAAGTCTGTTTTTGTCATATGTGTCCCAATCGTGCCTGTCAATATTAATGGTGTTTGTACTTTAATATGTGGTGTTATGTAGTCGCATATCAACTTCCATTTGTAAATTATTAAATTTGAATTCTTTTACTCTAGTTGTCTGTTCTTTGCTGTCATAGTGCATGAATATTGGAGCTTTATCTTAAACAAACAGTTTACACAGCCAACAATAATGTTCTCTTTTGAGAATAGAGGTGAGCAAATGAACATAAAAAAATAATTTACAGAATTGAACATACACACATTAGTTTGTAATCTCTTCTGGTAAAGGGAATGGATACTCTGGGTGCTTATTTATCCTGAAACAACATCAGTTCATATTAGAACATCACAAATAGAGGCAATCATTTCCTACTGAAAAAAAAGGCTTACCCTTTCCAGAAGAAAAAGTTAAATATTCGTCCCTTCTCTCCTCTATCCAGTGCTCTCATTGACTCTACCTCCTCAGGTGTGAGTTCAAAGTCAAAAACCTGCAAAAATAAACATATAAAAATTAAGATGCCTGAAGAGACCTCTAAGAAATGTAGAATCCAATCAAATGAAAGACTCACGTTAATGTTCTCCCGTATCCGCGTTGGGTTGGCGCTCTTTGGTATGGCGGCCACCTTGAGCTGCAGGAGGAAGCGCAGCAACACCTGTCCGGGGGTCTTCTGATAGCGCAGGCTCAGCTCGCGCACGAGGGGATGGCCCAGCAGGTCGGGGAAGTTGTCGGCACTGTAAAACAGGCGCACCATCACCGTCATTTGTCAGTTGTCACAGTGACAACCTTAATAGTTGTGCCCCGTAAATCTGACGCGACGGGACGGACTTGCCTGTAGTTGTACTTGCTGATGAAGTGGGACTGCGCCCCCGGCGAACCCAGCGGCGAGTAGGCCGTGACCGCGACGCCGAGCTCTCGGATCGAGTCCACCAGGTCGCGCTGCTGCATCGAGGCGTGCAGCTCGACCTGGTTGACGGAGACGGGGACGCGGGCCGCCTTCACCAGCCGCCGCACCTGCTGGAGGTTGAAGTTGGACACGCCCAGGGACCGCACCAGCCCCAAGTCGACCATCCGCTCCATTTCCTGTGAGTCAACGCGTCATTGGTGTTGGTGTACTCGAAACGGCAAGCTGGGTCCAGCAACGTGGTGTCATAACCCTCTTTGAACTTGGGTGCCTCAGCCGTGCTAACAACATAGCGCACCCTGGACACCCTGGACACCTGTCCTTGACGCAGCTGATCGTTACCGAGTTGTATGGTAGGTGAGGTGGACCAAGTTATCTAGGGACTTCAGATTGTCGTCTCACCTTCCAAATAGCCAGGTGGTCCGTGGTTAGGTCCAGGGTAGGGCAACCGTCCTCGGACAGGCCCAGCGACTCCCCAGTGCTGTCGGCTTGCATCCCGAATGGTCCGTGGATCAGATACAGGTCCAAGTACTGGAGCTGCAACCGCTCCAATGACTTCCTCAAGTACGGCTCAACTAGCTCGGCCTTGTTGGCGAACATGGGAAGCTAGAACGAAAGAAAGAGAATACTGAGGGGATAACTCATGAACTTCTCGCAACACCTTTGAAAGGTGTATTTGAAGGTGCCCCCACAGTGGATTTCACACGAGGCGACGCGAGGTAACGTCAAATATTCTGCTCATAGCCGGCCGAAGCCCCCACTTGGGCTCGTGGGCGGTCCACCGTTCAAGCACAGCTGCTTGGCGGGTTGGCCGACCCAACGCGTAGCAGGCGTCACCATTGGCGTTGCCACGCAGATCTCTCATTGTGGGAACACCCTTAAGCATTGCCGCACTAAAATGTTCTGATCTAATGACGTTTGCAGTGCATGCTCGTTCCCATACTTTTGTGACGACAAAGAGGTCCTCTCGCTTGCCTCGGCCGTCGTCCAGCCACCTGCGGAGGGCGCGCCCGATGTCCTGCTCGTTGCCGTAGTTGAAGGCCGTGTCGAAGTGGCGGTAGCCCGCGTCCAGGGCGTCCAGCGTGGCGCGCTCGATCTCCTCGGCTCGCGCCTGAAACAATGAGAGAGAGACGCGAGTCAGAAGGCTGATTAGGGGAAGCGGCGCGGGCTCTGCGGCCTGGCCTCGAAGGCCACCATCACCCCAACTCCAGCCCCTCTCTCTTTCTCTTAAATGCGAAATCGAGGAAGGAACTACCGTGTCTGATCGTCACGTCCCCCCTTCCCTCGGGGCTTGAGGGCGAGGCTGGACCCAGTTGGAGCCGGTGCCCGCCGGAACAGAACAGCATCCAGGATCCTCAGCGCGTGTCCGAAACCTGACCGGCGGCCCCGCGTAGCTCCGCGGCCAGCAGCGCGGGCGCCTGGCAAGGGAACCGAAGGGAACCCCTCTTCTCCCCCCGGGACCGCCGCCAATTGTCCTGCTCTCCTTCCCAAATGTTACAGCCCCCCGAGCGTCGAGCCGACGGGGAGGAGGGAGGCCAGGCAGGCAGACCGATTGGTTTCCAGGTAATCTACCCTAATCTATTTTAAATTGCTCCACTCTCCTTGAAGCGGCGGGTTTCCCGCCCGTTCCTCCCGCAGCGCCCCCTGTCTGCCATCCCCTCCTCGTGCCGCCGCTCCACCCGCATGTCGGTGTGCGAGCCACCCCCCCCCCCTTCCCAACCCGCCCCTCACCCGCACCATCGACATATCCACCACCATCATCATCATTATTATAAGTTGATTCCAACCATTGCCGGGGGGCGGCTGGGCTGGGCCGGAGGCGGCTCCACTGGATAACATGCAAATGGCGCACAAGTTCATGCGACAGGGCCTCGCGCGCCTCGGCTGAGCAGCAGCAAAGCCGCCGCAAAGCTCCAAGCTCCCTGCTGCCCCAGTGTGCTGTGCAGCCGCCCCACGGGGCGACCCTAGGCGGCCCCCGCGGCCCGCAGACAGACCGCGCTCGCCGCCCCGCGCGCCGCCGCGGCCAGTTTAGTTGTCAGTCAATGAAAGTGCAGCAGCAGCAGTAGCAGCGCTGCTGGCAGCCGGGCCAGGGGCAAGGATTGTGTAGTGGAGCCCCGCGGTGGGCCGCGTCTGGGCGGGGCGGGGCAGGTGGGGTGGGGCGGGGCAGGTGGGGCGGGGCGGCTTGCGTCAGTTCGGGGCTCGCGCCGCACACCGCCACCGCCCACCACAACACCCCACCGACCCACCCCGCGCCCCGGTGGTGGCCACGACGGCGCGCCCTACAGACAGCAGGGCCGGGCCCCTGCCAGCCAAGGCCACGGCATTGGCAGGGATAGGCACCGCGCGGAACGGGGCCACAACATTGCGACCCGCGGGCCTCGGGGCGGGGCGGGGCACCGCGAACATGATGTGGACTGGCTTGGTCCGCGTAGGTAGGGGTGAGACACCCCTCCATGTACAGTACAGTACGTTGACTAGGCAACTGGGCAGTACAACTAGAGGAGACCAGTGCAGTGCAGGCTTCAGATGCTTCAGACTATTGATGATTACTGTAGCACGAGGCAGGGGAAATACTAAGAAGACGTTCAAAATCAGATTGGAATTTATCGGCTGCTTTTGACTGAGACATCACACTACCTATCATTTAAAAAAAAGAACGTGCCTCGATAAATATGTTTTAATTTAGAGGTCACCAAAGACAAAACAGTGTTTACAACCCTCCGCACCCCCAAACAAAAAAATAAAATAAAAAACATAAACACATGAACCACACCCACACAAAATGAACAAATGCCTAGGAACCGGAAAGGGACAAATTTTCAAAGATAACGATACGTAAGGTGATGAAAGAGTTGAGCTTAACTCCATAATTAAAGAAAGTTAAGAGTCGATCTGTTTATTATGACGTGTGATTGTAACATGTTCTAGCTGGACAGCGGCTTGATCGTAGGAACACTTCAAGTTTGTCAGACTGTTCCTCTCGGTGTCTCCATCGTGGCACCACCACCCGATGCTTGGTGGCTTGCACGTCCAGGACGAAGGGTGCATAGCACAGTACTATAAAGTGACACTGAAACAGCGTTCATTGCCCCACTTGACATTGCGGCTTGGAATCAAGGTGAACGACCTCCCTGGCAACATTGTACCACCTCCATCGGAGTGTCCCGCCGCGTTACACCTCCACCCACACCTCCCGCGGGAGTACAGCCATTAGGAGCCCCCG